AGAGAGAGAGAGAGAGAGAGAGAGAGAGAGAGAGAGAGAGAGAGAGAGAGAGAGAGAGAGAGAGAGAGCGCATGGTGATTTTCGAGGGATTTTAGGAGTGGAACAGCTGGACGGTATGTGGGGGGCCACGTGACTTGATTCGTCATTCATTCCTGGCGCTAAGATTGCGACGATCAATGTCCAGGAACGAAGAATCTGGGCAAGTGAGACCTCGGCCGCGGAGGAGAGAACTGTATTTTCTTACCATAGCGGAGTACCTTTTTGCTGCTGCATGTTGTTGCAAGATTTCCGTCTACAATCGCGAACAGTCAACTGAGGACCGTCTTTATTCAGGTTGTGTATTCGGCTGATCCATGTTAGTTTCAGCATCACCAGCAACCTGGTCTTTCCATTAGACGCGGTGCAGATCCTTTCTTCGCCAGGAAGCAACCGTGGTCCATTATAGTGTATAGACCTGGGACTACTGTAAGCCCCAGCTCCTGGAACGAGGATCGACAAGGTCCCAACCTGAGACTGCAGTCAGTCCCCCACTTACGTTACGTGGTTTCTTCGTGTCCGACCGTCGATTGCGAACATAAGTGATCTTGCGGCCAGAAGAATAGAAGTCGGGTAAGTGGGATGTGGTCCGGCTATAGTAGATTACGCGGATCTCCCACGTTGATCTTGTCGGAGGAAATGTGGTTTCCCTCAAGTGGTTGATCCGCCGCGCGAGGGAAGCAAAGCTGAGTCCGCCGTACGTAGCCTGAATTATGCGCAAGGTTACACTGCAGAAACACGCAATCTTAACAGCACCTTGTGGTCGCACATTTTTCTTTAAATATGGACGGCTGGGAATGATGGGAAGATGTGTAGTGAGATGCGAATCCTATGGCTGTGGATCGAATCTCGACGTCGTTACCTCGACAAAGTGGATTGCCGTTCCTCCTGGACCTGAACTTGGTGCTTACTACCAGCAATAAGTGTTGACGTCTCCAACTTGTTGAGTATAGGCAGAGGGGATCGAATCCCCACGTCGCGGGCCTGAAGTAGGTCCTTACCAGTAATTAGTGGTGACGTCAGAGGGGATCGAATCCCCACGTCGCGGGCCTGAAGTATGTCCTTACCAGTAATTAGTGGTGACGTCACTAACTTCAGGACTCGACAATCAATGCACCAAGAAACGAAGGACCAAAGAAAACGAATCGTGCGTGGAACATCGGGGATACTATCGAGGAGGGAATTCTCAGACGGGGAGCTTTCTTGCGCGATTTTGGACGTAATAGCGGTCGGATACGTCCAGAAATGTCCCGAGTGTAAGTATGCCCTAACTCGCTGAAACTGGTGTTGTACAAGTTACGTGCTTAAATGGGAGGAAGCTACCTGTTCTTTTGCCACGTCACGCTAACGCGACAATGCCGATGGGGCTTACGATAAACATTTCACTTTATTTGTACCTACCTTACGTGCTATCTTTCTTCGGGAGCGATCCTGGTCCTTGTAAAGCTAGTACGGTGCAGAACCAAAAATCCAGACGAATTGGGATGTCGCCGGGTTTTATCTCTATAATATATTTCTTACCGTGAAAACCAAGCCAAGTTTGATTCTCTTCCTTCCTGGCCGTTGGTTCAAGTTTGATTCTCTTCCTTTCTGGCCGTTGGTTCTTAAGAACCTACGGTACGGTGCAGGGCGAAGAAAGAATCCAGGGAAGTTGTACATGCCCGAACGAATTCTGTTTTCCTGACCGATGATCGTTGATCGTCATAACCGACGGCCCTGAACGAAGAATCTTTCCTGGCCGTTGATCCTCATAAACGACGGCCCTGAGCGAAGAATCTAGTTCAAGTCTGATATAGCTGGATTCTGCCTGTCTGGCCTTCCATGTCCCGGCCGCAGTTTAGACGAAGAATCCGGGCTGAGTGGGATGCGGCGGGATTGTTTCTTTGTCGTCATCGATCCGTCTAATCCACGGTCCAGAAGGAAGAATCCGGGCCGAGTGGGATATGCTCTGATTCTGACTTTCTGCCCGTCGATCCTTACTGGCCGTTGATGTATCTAATCTACGTTTCAGAGTCTAGGTTCAGAATGAGGGGAACTTAGGAGAGGTGGGATGTTTTCTGGCCGTTGATCTAATCTAATCTACTTTGAGAATGTTGAATTCAGGCCATTGATATGTCTGTTCTTTCTCGCACGGTGCGTCGCCGACATAAATAACCGTCCATAGGGCGGATGTGGGAGAAGGGGTAGGGTCGCTCGGCACTGGCGTGGGAGAAGGGGTAGGTAGGGTCGTTCGGCACTGGCGTGCTTGGCGTGGAAGCCAGATATGTTCTTGGCGCGCTTTCCCTCTTGAGTTTTTTTTTTTTTTCGATGGCGGTGATCAGTGATCGCCTCCGCACGTTGTCTCGTTGATCTGCCCGTCTGTGGAAGGTGAGGGAGGCGTGTCGAAGGAGTTTTATTTTTTATTTTTTTAAGGGTGGGATAAAAAAAAGAAAAAGAAAAAAGAAAAAAAAAAAGAAAAAAAGAAAAAAAAGAAAGAAGGACAAAAAGGGAAAAAAGGGAAAAAAAGGAAAAAAAGGAAAGAAAGAAAAAAAAGAAAAAAAGAAGAAAAGAAGAAAAAGAAAAAAAGAAAAAAAAAGGACGACGGCCTTAGATGAACTGACCTGCCCCAGCAAATTCAGAACTACTATTTTATTCTGTTCATGTGGTCATCTGGACTCGAACTCAGGTGTGTGTTTCAATAGTTCCATGGGTGGTGTACCAACTGAGCTGCTACCGTCTGCACCCGAATAGAGCGCCCGGTCCTTATAGCTGTATCTGGACTGAAAATTGCTCCAAATACCGCTATAATGACCGGGC